CCGGAGCTGCCGAGGAGATTAGCATTGCTCCTACCCGGTGACTTTTCCTGAGGCAAAATCCACGGGGAATGCCCACGGAAGTTTTTCCCGCCCTGCACCCGGAACCCCTTCACCCCTGTTACACACAGCGGGCTCTCTGCACGCGGGCAGCCGTCAGGTGGAGGGGCCGGGACTGGCCTTTTGGCTGAGACTTTGATGGGCTGGGGAAGAAGGCTCGGAGTGGGGAGGGGGGCGTGTCCAGCAGAAGTTTCTTCTGGGTGAGTGGAGGAAAAGTGTGGGTTTGGTGAGGTTGTCCGGAGAATGTAGCTGTTTGCTGACCGTCACCCACTGCTTGTGACCTTGAGCAACTCCCAATCTTGGGACGAAACAGATTCCGGATTTATAGTTTCAGGACTGAACCAGGGAAATCCTTACAGAGTCATCCTGATTGGGTCAAGTAGATGATTGTGATTTCATAGAGAGTTGCTAATAGTTACTTCTGGTGTGGAGGCTGGTGTGGAGGGCTGGCTCTATGGAAGTTTGAGAGGACCGTAGCGTGGGTGGAAAGGGCCTTAAAAGTTCCCACTTGAGATATATCACAAGCAGTCCCACTGGAGTGTGGAATTCCAATTTGGAATCTTTGAACATTGGAAACAGTAGGATACTTGATTTTACACTTTGGACTCAACTCACTGTGTAAACTTGAAGAGAGATGATGGGATACAGGGAATACAAATTGCCAGAAGCAGCAGTGGCCCACACCTTTAATCCCAGCAGATCTCTGTGAGTTCCAGGCCAGCCAGAGCTGTTACACAGAGAAACCATGTCTCAAAACAAAACAGTTGCCAGAAGCAACAAAAACTTGGTAAACTGAATATAGACTGAAGTGAGAGAAAGCATTGAAAGTAGAATACACCAAACTCATTTGGTGACCTTTTATTTTCTCACTGGAAGGTGAGGCAGGAGGATCAGCAGTTCTAAGCTAGCGTGTACCTGAAGAAATAGTAGGACATACCCAAGATACAGGGATTCTAGCTTTTGTTCAGCATTCTACAATCTTTGCCTTTTTTGATAGTCACACAGATTTCTTTGAACCAAGTTGTATTTGGCTCAGAAATTACAGTTTTAAGGCATTACGGTTTAGTACCTAGCACAGAGCATAAGTAGACTAAACATTATCGCTGAATTTAAAAAGTGAGTTGTTGGGGTTGGAGAGATGGCCTAGCTGTTAAGAATGAAGGCTGCTCTTCCAGAGAAGCCCAGTTTAATTCCCAGCATCCACATGGCAGCTCACAACTGTTTGTAACTCCATATCCAGGGGTCCTCGCACCCTTACACATACATACATTCAGGCAAAACACCAGCGCAAATAAAATAAAAATAAATTATTGAAAAGAATTTTTAAAAGTTAATTGCCTGTGATTAGGCACTTTTGTAAGAGTAGAACAAAAACCCTTGTTTGTTTTCCTAATGCGCAACTGAATTGTGGGTGAAAATGTTTTGAGTTCTGCATTCTGGCTAGAGTTTAGTTCCACAGGAAAAAGGAAGAAAGATGGAACGATTTCAAAGGGTTGGGAAAACCACATGGCTATAGTGAAGAAAATGTAATTTTGTTGAAAAACCTATAGGAAACTCAAGATAATCAAGAGTTCATTTATAATTTCCATTGTCTCTGCCAGTGGTGTAAAGTGCTTATTGAAAAACCTATAGGAAACTCAAGATAATCAAGAGTTCATTTATAATTACCATTGTCTCTGCCAGTGGTGTAAAACCTACAAAAAGGTTTTAAGATGTTACAGTCATTAAAAAGAACCAGTGTTAGGACTGCATAAATGCCATGAAAAGTTAACTGTCTTTCTCTTTTTTGTAGTCTTTAGAGGATTGTCCTCTAGATGAAGATGAAGATGCATTTCAAGGCCTGGGAGAAGAAGATGAAGAAATTGATCAATTCAATGATGATACATTTGGGTCAGGTGCAGTTGGTAAGTGACATCTTTTTATGGCGTCTGTTGATCTTACCAGGTGCTTTGGTCTTAGTAAAGTCTACCTCTAGTTAAGTTTTGTTCATTCTCTGTGTGTATGCCTGTGAGGGTGGGTAAGCATGTGCTGGTGCTGGCTGTGGAGGTCAAAGGACAACTTCAGGAGTTGGTTCTCACCTTCCACCTTGTTGAGAAAGGATCTCTCTTGTTTCTGCCCTGGAGCTACATATTCCAGACTAGATGACCCAGGGATTGAAGTCATTCTTGTGTCTTCACTCCCTGTCCCAAAGTAGGAATGTTGAGATTACAGATGTGGACCCAGTGCATCCAGCTGTGCTCTGGGATTCAGACTCCGGTTGTCAGACTTGTGCATGAAGTGGTTTTATCTGCTGTGCTAAGCCTTCTTCCTGACCCAGTTCTGCTCTTTATATAATAGTACAGCCTTTACTCAGTCATAGTAGTTTACCTTCTGTTCTGTTCACCTGGGCCTCTTTGTCTTACCTATAATAACAGGTATTCTCAATGCATTGTAGCTCTAGGTTGCCAGTATAAGGAATTTAAATAATTGGAAAAGTAGACATTTAAATGATGTTGAAAATAACTATAGACAAAGGGAGTACTTGTAGAACATGCAAGGAAAACTAATGGACTTGCAGAAAATTCAGTTTCTATGTAAGACATTTTTAAAATTCAGGCTACCAATCAAGTGGAGGAAGGGGGAAAGATCTTGAGTTCTAGGCTAGCCTGGGCTACATGGAACAAAAACTGTCTCAAAAAAGGAGAAAACATTCTAGGCCATCTCTTGTATATTGCATAATTTCTGTTATCTCAAGGTTTCTTCAGTACAGTAAAAACACATTCTATACAAAGAATTTTGGTGATAGAATGTCTTCATAAATTAATAAAGTATCTAGAACAAGTTCAGAGAAAGTAACCTAATGAACTAAAGTTTATGCTTTAAAAAAGGAGCAAGTAGAGTATACAGGTAAGAACATGAACTGTAGGTATTCCTGCTTTAGCTGTTGGAATGCAGCAGTAGCGGTGTGGTGTTTAGATTGGGGTGTGTGTAAATATTTGTGATTGTTTGGAATTACTGAAGTTTAGTCTGTACATGTGTTCCAAGTTAAATAAGAAAACCAGGAAAAATAAAGCAGTAGTGGATGATTCTAAGGTGTTCAGTATCAAAAAACTTTAAAAATATTACAGTGGTTACTGGTTTTGCAATAATTTAAACAGCTTAAATTCTTCAAAGCTCACAGATTTGAATGAAATGTGAAAAATGGAAAGGTTTGCTTTTGTCTATCATTTACAAAATTCAGTAGAAAACCAAAATTGTCACAAGGGAGAGCAACAAGAAATATGCTGAAAGTAGAAGCAATGCTTAGTAGAGAAGGGAATTAAAGAACTTTTGAAGGATAGCCAGAGTTCAGGAGATGAGATTGTCCAGGAGAATGGCATGATCCAAGATGCTGTTGTCTGTCTCCATGGAGATAGCAAAGGAAGCTATGTAGAAGAGAATCACAAGCACTGAGAAGTGATATGAATTGCAAATCGTATTTAGGAGGTAGTTTAGCAGTAACCCCTAAAATACAATAGAAGCTGCAGACAGTGTATACTTCTCTCTAGATTTTTCTATTACTAGATTTCTATTGTTTCTAGATTTACTAAGATGAGACAGCATAGTAATATGTTCTCAATTTTGAACCTTGATGAATGATTTTTGCCTTCTCACTGACATTCAGAGTTTTGACAGTATCCCCCTTCTCCCCAGCCCTTACATTTTTGTTTGCTGTCACAAGATAGGAACACTTACTTGAAAAGGATACTAGAATATATAGAACTATTTTATGTGATCCAGTAAAGGTTCTTGGATTGCATAGTAGAAGTACAGTTGGTAGAATTTAGAGGCAACAGAGTAACAAGGCTAGCTTACTTTGCACTTGAGAACAGAAGGGTGATTAAGGACTTCTTTGCCTTTGCCAATGAAGGTTATAATAGAGAATTTCCAAAGGTCTTCTCTTTCCATTCAGAGTTTGATATGCTGGAATTGTAAACTGAAATTCTTAATTCCTTTACAACATCTTTGTTATGGAAAAAATTGCTAAGTTGATCTGTAACTTCTTTGAAAAAAACATTGTAGATACAGATGATAAAGAGTTTAAACCACTTGGTGAAGTGTTGATTTGATGATTTGTTAGCACCTTGAATAATACCTGTTAATAGAATGGGGATACCTTAGGTCACTGACAACAAAAGTTCTGATGTCACCTTTCTGTAAGAAACTTAACCTTTGTCTTCTGCATTAAAAAAAAGTTTACATCTTCTCAGAGCAACAAATGGTGTTAAGTAATCCCTATCCATTCTCTAAAAATAAAAGCTTAAACTTACCTGATGGTCATAGACTCCATTCTTGATAGTTAATGTATATTAATCTTTACAGCAGTGTTTTGTTTCCCCAGTACTAGGGATTGGCCTCACAGGGTGAGTATTGTACCACTGAGCTATGTCCCAGCCCCAATATTGTACTAATTTTAACAGCTAAGCACAATGACCAAGGGGTTCAGAAACTATAAATACAATTAGTGTGACCTACTGGTTGTAGTACAAGTATATTTGGAAATCTACTTTTATTTGGAAGAGCTCCTTGTTCCTTCTCCTCTTTTCTCATTAGCATAAACTCAATGACTTAGATGATCTCTACTTTTTGTTTTTGTTTAGAAATAGCCTGAAGATGGCCTTTAAGTGTGGTAAAAGTTTATGGAAAAAGTTCATTCAGGGTTTACAGGTTAATTAAGTGGAGGAACGTCTCCTTCCTTATTATTCTTTACTTCTTATCTATTTGACCAATAGCTCAAACATTGGCATATAGCTAAGCAACTGTAATTTTAATTTGTGTTCATGTTTTAGTTCATTTGTGTGTGCCTGTTGTGTGTGTATTTTTATCATGTGTATTTTCTGTAGTGTACTTGTGTATTCATGTTGGCATGTGTGCAGAGGCCAGAAGTTAATGTCAGGTCATTTCCTTAATCATCCTCTCAATTCATTTACTGAGACGGGGTCTCTAGCTGAATCCAGAGTTTCCTAGTCCTTTTAGCCAACTTGGCCCCAGGATTTCTCCCCATTCCTCCATCCCCGCCCAACCACCGTACCACTGGGATTACAGATGGTACACCCACACAGGTTTTTATGTGGATGGTAGGGATTTGAACTCCTGACCTCATGCTTGTGTGACAAGTGCTGTATCCACTGAGTCATCTCTCCAGTTCAGTTACACATTTTTGTTTGTTTGTTGTTGTTTTAATTTATTTTTATTTTATGTTCATTAGTGTTTTGCCTGCATGTATGTCTGTGTGAGGGTTGTCAGAAGCCCAAGGAACTGGAATTACAGACGGGTATGAGCAGCCATGTGGGTTCTGGAAATTGAATCTGAATCCTCTTGAGCAGCCAGTGCTTTTAACTATTGAACCATCTCTCCAACCCCAGTTACCCTCTTCTTAATGTTTCATGATTAGCCACTAGAATTCTATAATTTTTTATATATATATAATTATATATATTTATAAGTAAAACACAATTTTATGTATATGTATGTGCGTGTGTTTTCAAAATGGGGTTTCTCTGTGTAGCCCTGACTGTCCTGGAACTGACTCTGTAGACCAGGCTGGCCTCAAATTCAGAGATCTGCCTGCTTCTGCCTCCTGAATACTGAGAGCTAACTTCTGTAATTTTTATCTAAATTCTATTTTTTCCCTTTGAGCACAACATGGTATCTTTCAGAGTATTTCATAATAAAATAGCTCCTTAAATTCATTTCTATAAGATGACACTTCAAGAAAAAGTATCACTTGGCCATGCATTTAATTAAGGGGCTGAAACCCCCACATGAAAGATGGCCTATGCTTAGAGGCTTGGATATGTTTACAACTCTTTCCTCCAAGCTTTTCCTAGTGATTTAAAGTAATTCACAAGTTTTTGTTTGTTTGTTTTAGTTTGGTTTTGGTTTTTGGTTTCTCTGTAACATTCACTCTATAGACCAGGCTAGCCTCCAGCTCACAGAGATCCCTCTGCCTCTGCCTCTGCCTCTGCCTCTGCCTCTGCCTCTGCCTCTGCCTCTGCCTCTGCCTCTGCCTCTGCCTCTGCCTCTGCCTCTGCCTCTGCCTCTGGGATTAAAGGCATGCACCACCACACTGCCCCACATGATCTATAATTTTATAACATTTTTCCTTAAGTCTTCTGTTGACTTTATGCCAGAAAAGGGCATCAGATCTCACGATAGATGGTTGTGAGCCACTGGGAATTGAACTGAGGACCTCTGGAAGAGCAGCCAGGGCTCTTAACCACTGAGCCATCTCTCCAGCCCCCATGATCCACATCATTTTAAGAACACATTAAGAAGACTAATGTGTTAAAATCTTTCACAGAGTTCTGAAAGAGCAGGCCTTGCATCCTTTGACACCAAAATCTTGAATTTGAAAGTCCTACATGCTTTGCTTTTTGGATCATTAGTGTTATGTATGTGACACATTTCTATTTGATAAATAGTAAGTTTTGAATACATAGCCTGACCCAAAAAAAAACGAGTTAGCCTATGTAAATACTTAAGAATCTAAGATATACATCATGTTTCCTACAGTATAGTTTTAAATCGTCAGAATGTTTTTCACTATGCAATAAGCAAAATTAGTATGTTGATAGAATGGGATCATATATAGTCGTAAGAAGAATGAGGGAAAAAATCAGTGTTTTTTTATATATACATATATATATAATATATATACATATATATAATATATGTATACATATGTATATATTATATATATATATCTCCAAGGTACATTATACAGAGGGAGAGTTAAAAATCTTGGCTTTAAAAGAGAAAAGCCCAGAGGCACAAGATAGACGGGACAATGAAAAAAAAAAAAAAATCTTGGCTCTGTTGTCATCTTCACAGTGTGGCCTGTCTTTGGCCATCCATTTAATTACATTTTCAGGCTGCTTTTCTTCCATGTTCCCAAAGAATTTTCTTCTAATGCAGTGTGTCGTTTCCTTATTCATTGTGTTTATTTTCTTTATGTCTTCCTGTTTGAATGAAGGCAATGTGAGGGTAGCATCCTTGTGGTGTACATTGGATCCTGTGTTCCTAAAACAGTCCTTGTCATACAATAGAAGCTTTAAAAATACCGAATGAAATTAATAGATTCAAAGGCTTAGATTCTGAGTGGTTCTCGCCCTTCCTAATGCTTCGACCCTTTAATGCAGTTCCCCATGTTGTGACCCCAAATCATAAAATTATTCTCATTGCTAATTAATAACTGTAATTTTGCTATTGTTAGAATTATAATGTAAATATTTTGGAAAATAGGTTTGCCAAAGAGTCTGTGGCCCAAAGATTGAGGACTGCTGGCTTAGAAGAAGATGGCAGTTAAAATTTAAGAGAAAGTCTTGTGTTAGTACTATTGGTTTTCACTTTTTCATAAAGGTTTTGCCTGAAACATCTTCAAATCCCAAAGCTAGTCATGTACCCCAAATAGTATAAAGATCTATCACCAGTTTAGAAGTCAGTTTCAGACTGGGATTCAAACACTATTAATACTTTAAACTTTTGACCAAGTGGGGGGGGGGGGGGAGTGTGTGTGTGTGTGTGTATCCACATGACATGTGTGTCCAGGTATGTGCCCTTTTGTGTGTGTGGAGGCCAAAGCAGATGTCAGATCCCTTGGAGCTGGTGTGCCAGGCATATGCAGGTCCCCTGGCTTGTTATGAAGGTGCTAGGATCTGAACTCTAGTCTTCATGATTGTACAGCAAGTACCGTTATCCACTAAGCCATTTCTCCAGACCCCCCACCCCAGAACTTGTACTTTATTCCTAATATTTTTTTTTCTTTTTAATAGTGGAAATGCCACGTATGCTTACAGAATCTTAAATTCCATAAAAACCCTTTTGTTATAGACAGATAGGAAAGAGAGAGAGAGAATTTTTTGAGATAGGGTCTCATTATGCTACTCTGGCTGCTCTGGAACTTGGTAAGTAGGCCAGGCTGACAGAGAGTTCACAGATATCTGCCTGCCTCTGCCTCTGCCTCCCAGGTGCTGGGATTAAAGACATGCACCACCCTGTGCAGCTGAGCTACATTTCTTATATGAACTGACCTGTCTTACAGATGATGATTGGCAGGAAGCACATGAGCGCCTGGCTGAGTTGGAAGAGAAGCTACCTGCGGCAGCTGATGAGCAAACAGGCAATAGAGAGAGGGATGAGATGGACTTGTTGGGTGACCATGAGGAGAATCTAGCAGAAAGGCTCAGTAAGATGGTGATTGAAAATGAGCTAGAAGATCCAGCTATCATGAGGGCAGTGCAGACCAGGCCGGTTTTACAAGTAAGTTACTTTGATTTGGGAACTAACAATAGCTCAGATAATAACAGATTAATAATTAAAGTACTGAGCTTTGTCATTTATTTTCTGTTTAATAACAGAATTACATGTGCCATAGAAAATTATTAATTGGCAGGTGGGGTGACTCACGCATAAAATCCCAGCACCGGGGAGGCTGAGGCATGCAGATCACTGTGGGTTGGAGTTAGCCTAGCTACTTAGCAAGTTCAAGGACAGCTTGGGCTACAGAATAAGGCCCTATCTCATGAAAGAAAACAGTCCAAAGGTTGATAATTCCCGATGTTAGCAATTTTGTAGATAAAGTTGAGGAATCATGTGTATTCTGGAACACTGCGACTACTCATTTCCAAGTAGTCAAGGTTCAAGTCTGAGAGCCACACTATTCTGGACTCTGTGTATGTATGTTTCCTTTTTTGGCAGCCTGAACCCAGAAGTCTGAATTCTAGCATCTGGGATGGATCTGAAGTTCTGAGGCGAATCCGTGGACCACTACTTGCTCAGGTATTAGATATTTTCTCTTTGTGTAGAATGGCTTGTATCCGCAAATACGTTGGCTCCAGTTATCATCCTGGACAGCATATTATTAATATACTGTAATAATATAGAAGCATGTCTCACTCACCAGTGTTAACCTTGACTGCTGCATCCAGCTCTTGACAGTTGTATTGCTGATGCTCCCTTCTTCAGCCCTCAGTTTAAAGGCCGAAAGGGCGTTGTTAGAGCTCCTAGACTTCAGTGTATGATTTAAGCTAATTAAATTCTAGGCAAAACTGCAGATGAGGTATCCCTGATTGTTGGACAGTGGTGGGGCACAAGGCCAAGGGGCTGATTATGAAAGGATAATGTAAAGGAATTTTATGGGAATGATAAAATTGGTACATATTTATCAGAAGTCAGAATTGTATGCTAAAGGATGACTTTTTACTGTATATGAGTTAAAATTAAATAAAAATTAAGATAGTTTCTCAAGGTATCTTTGGTATCTATAGAGACTATTAAAACATTACAAATTAGCTAATTTCTCTGTATGCTTTTTAACCACTTCCTCAATTAGGAAATGCCTACGGTGTCTGTATTAGAATATGCCTTGCCTCAGAGGCCCCCACAGGGCCCAGAAGATGATCGAGACCTTTCTGAGCGAGCTTTACCAAGGCGTTCTACATCACCTGTCATTGGAAGTCCTCCTGTTAGAGCCGTTCCTATAGGCACCCCACCTAAGCAGATGGCCGTTCCCAGCTTCAACCAACAGGTACCTTTCCTTAACGTACACAGCCCAAGATATTGGGAATCTGGGCAAAATTATTTGGGATACAGGGAGGAGGGTGGACATTGTGGGTAGGCATTAAAGAATAGCCAATTAGAGAAGAAGTTAGTACAAATGAGACACATTTCCCTAATACAATTGCTGCTGCTGCTTCTGATACCTTTTAACTGGGAGAGAAGAGAGTAGTTAGCCACATTAGTGCATATATCCTTTTTTAAGTGTTTTGCTGGCTGCCGGGTACATTAGCAGAAAGATAACTGAAAGCTGGGGGGAGTGGGAACACTCAGCATTGTCCACATCCCTTTTTACCTTTAAGATATCCCTGCTTTCCCTAGAGCCTGTGCAGTCCTGTTCCATAGACTTTCCTCCACCTGAAACCAGCAGCTGAAAAGGAAGGCCAATTTGGAAGGTATGGGGGGAGGGTGGTGTTGGTATGGCCTAGTTAGGCTCAATATCCTAAGAAATGGTGGAGTCACAATGTATCCCAACATTGCTGAGCATGGCGGCCATATCACTGAGGCTTCAGAATAAGGACTTAGTTAATCCTCCAGCTTTCTTATCATTCCTTGTCCCTCACTATAACCAAAATATATCCTCTTGGAGAAAATTTTCAAGTCAGAATGTCTGCTGGTACTTCCCTCAGATAGCATGGAAGGGTGGGGATACTGGAGAATTAGCTAAATCTTCCTCAGTTAAGATGAAACTGATTTGTGAGAGGAAATGACCAAAGGTTCAGTGTTTGAACCCATAGCCAGAGCAATTTGCTTAGAAATAGGGCTTTGCATTGAGTTCTGTGTCTCTACCAGTACTTGAGGGGAGGGAGTGTAGGAAGGCAAAAGACTGATTTCATTCAATGTAGTTGTGTATATTTGTCTTAATAGATTCTGTGTCCGAAGCCTGTTCATGTACGACCTCCGATGCCACCACGTTATCCTGCTCCCTATGGTGAGAGGATGTCTCCAAACCAGCTCTGCAGTGTCCCGGTATGTCACTTTACACATGTTTAATGTGAACTTCATGATCACCTTTAGTATGTAGTAGAGCTGACATTTCCTATATTATATGAATTTCTGGTAATCTCTCCTTGTTTTCTGGGGTTTGTGGTCCCAAGATCAAAGGACAAAAATTTACTGTTTTGTGCCACTTTAAGATTCTTTGCTCGACTGGGAATTACTGTATATGCCTGTAGTCCTAGCACTCAGTAGACTGAGGCAGAAGGATCCTTAATTCCAGGCAAGCCTGGTCTACATAGCGAGTGAGTTTCAGGCTACCAGCTTGAGCTACTTAGCAATACTCTCTCTCAACAAAAGGAAAAGCACACAAAGAATCTGTGTTCATTCCTATTTTCAGCTGCTTAAGTCTTTCATTCTAATGCTGTCTTTTTCTTGTTCTATGGAAGTAGTCTTTCATAATTTCTAGCCTTCTTTTCTGATACAAGGAAGTTTTTGCATCTAACTTTATGCTAAATTTATATTGAGTTTGCTTAATTTATTGATTTGCTTGATCCATAATATGAACATAATTTCTCTTTTCTGTGTCCTTAGAATTCGTCCCTTCTGGGCCACCCTTTTCCTCCTAGTGTTCCTCCTGTACTCAGTCCCCTGCAGAGAGCACAGCTTCTTGGAGGAGCACAGGTAAGCCTACAGTTAGCCATACCCATAAAGATGATCCTACTATCCTAAGAGTCATTGCTTGACACTGTTTTCTTTCACTGTTAGACACATCTCCCCACTCCCACCTCACCCCCACTTTGTTATCTCAAGTGGAGATATTAATGGAAATAGTATTTACCTTTTTGGTAGTGCATGCCTATAATACCAACACTTGGGAGGGGTTCTGTTAGGATCATGTATTTGAGACCAGCCAGGGCTACACAGGGAGTTTCCAAACAGCATGAAGTACATAATGAGACCCTGTCACAAAGGGAAGTGGGGCCTGTTGGAAATGCTAATTCTATTACATTAAAGATCTGTTCCTCTTTGCAGCTACAGCCTGGTCGTATGTCTCCCAGCCAGTTTGCACGAGTCCCTGGATTTGTTGGTAGCCCCCTGGCTGCCATGAATCCTAAGTTGCTACAAGGGCGAGTTGGACAGATACTTCCCCCAGCACCAGGCTTCCGTGCCTTCTTTAGTGCTCCACCCCCTGCTACACCCCCTCCCCAACAGCATCCTCCTGGCCCAGGACCTCACCTGCAAAACTTAAGGTATACAAAACATGCTTCTTGATCATTGTCAGCCAAGTCCATTTTAGTTTTATAGTGTGAAAGTTTCATTTCTCATTTAGTTTTATGATATAAAACTCTTGTGATACTTGCTAAGAAGTATAGTTCCTGGATCCCCAGGTTGTCAGAGAACTGCTTGAGTCTTCAGTTTCTACACTGTTCTCCGGAGTATCATGCTTCCTTTGCATTTGATAAATTAACTGCTTCTTTTACTTTTACTTTTACTGGAGTTGCACTTCATACCCATTTTTTGAACATTCATGCAGTACAATGCACAGTGCTGATGACTGAAGAATTACCACAGTTGAGTAACAGATAGAAACAAAGGCCAAGAAGCTAGCTGATCTGAGTGCCAGCTGAGTTGCTGGTTTTATAAAGAGATAAACTTGGTTTCTGCTTTGGTAAAATTGTGTCATATTATGTAAATCGTGTCAGTTCATGTTCTGAAGAGAAACATCAATAGAAGATACATATAAGTGGAAAAAGTTAATTTTAATCCGAGGAACTGACTGGCAAATTGGAAATCCATTTAGTAGGCTAGAAACTTAAAGAGTCACATTGCAGTCTTGACCTTGAAGTATGTCAGCCATTAGACTAGAGACCCAGCAGAACATCATTTCCCATCTTGATACAGGTTTCTTCTCTGAGTAACTTCTCAGTTTTGGCTGTTGGGCCTCCCAGATTATGGAGGGCAATTTCTTAAAGTCAACTGATTGTAAATGTAAATCATGTCTATAAAATGTTTTCATAACAGTGTCTATACTAGAGTTTGGTTAAACTTGGGTATCATGGTTAGATTGACATGTAAAATAACTACCATACATAAAATTTCTATGTCATTCCCACAAAAAAATTGAAGCTAAATGAATTAACCCTGTTAGGAACAAAAAAAATTATACTGCTTACTACTAAAGCACTGAAGTAGTCCACTGAAAGAACCCTGAAGGTGTTTCATAGTCATCCAAGAAATTTAAAAATAACAGTTGGAATAAACTCTGGAAATCCCTTGAGTGAACCTTTGACATTATCCTGTATTGACAACCTTTTTTAAAATGAAGTCATCAAGATGAGATAACCAAGAACCATTTTCCTTTTTTTCTTAGACCTCAGGCCCCAATGTTTAGACCAGACACAACTCACCTTCATCCACAGCACCGGCGCCTGTTGCATCAGAGGCAGCAGCAGAGTAGAAAGTGAGTACTCTTCGCTCTCCTGACGTAAAGTCATGTTGACCTTAAGTCATAGTTAAAGTTGAGCTCTGACATTTATATCCCTTATCAAATTTATAATCACCATCTGAACTGCCTTTTTCTTTTGGTATTTCAAGACAGGGTTTCTATGTGGCTTTGGAGGCTGTCCTGGAACTTGATCTTGTAGACCAGGCTGGTCTTGAACTCAACAGAGATCTGCCTGCCTCTGCCTCAGACTCCCGAGTGCTGGGATTAAAGGCAAGCACCACCACCGCCCGGCTTAACTGCCTTTTTCTTTGTCTTCGAGTTTAGAAGTAATCTTAAAACACAGCAGCCAGCTCTAAATGTAGGTGTTATGTGAGCATAATGATAATTCTTTTCTTCACATTATTTCATCTTCATATAAATGTAAACACATTTTTGTATATACTGGCTGTGTGGCCAAACTGTGGCAGGCTTTGAAAACCAAAAACAGCAGGGTACATAAAGCCTCTCTGCCTTCAGTGTCTATATCAAGTCATTCTGTAATTATTTACCTAGATAAATTAAGGAAACTAGGTATAGCTGTAAGGGGTCTCAATGTCTGTTTTTTTGTTCTGTGTATAATTCCTTCTCACCTTCAAAAATTTCTATAATTTTGCAGGAGAGAAAAAGGAAACCAATGTTGACTTACACACAAAACTCCAAGTATAAGCTATATAGAGAAAGATTAACATATTTAACTGCATTAATGTATTAATACATTTAAAATATCAGTCCTTGAAGGTGTTGTTGGTGACACGTGGTTGTAATTTTATCAATTGGAGGCAAAAACCTAAAAAAGGAAGAAGCCAAGCAGTAATAGACCACTAAATATAAATCCTTTGAGGAAGATGTGAAAGCACTAACAAAACACATATGCCCAAATATTCAGTTCTCAACAGAATAAAATTTACTGGGTGGTTCCTAAAACTGAAGAGATAATCAAGCACACTTCAGAGTAAAGATTAAAACTAGATAGAAGTTACCATCCTTAGTCAAGCAATACTTGAAGTGTCTTACTACTTTATTTGGGGCGAGAACTGAGTATGTAACTCCTGGAGAGGATTTAGGCAGTAGATAATGAAGTTAAAAACATGGCTAGACAGCCAGGTGTTGGTAGCGCATGCCTTTAATCCCAGCACTCGGGAGGCAGAGGCAGGCGGATCTCTCTGAGTTTGAGGCCAGCCTGGTCTACAGAGCGAGTGCCAGGATAGGCTCCAAAGCTACACAGAGAAACCCTGTCTCAAAAAAAAAAAAAAAAAAAAATATGGCTAGACAACATCCTCTCAGTTCACTTTATAGTATTCCCAGGATACATTTGTGACATAAAGAAACAAGGAGTAGAATTATGCCCATTGCCATTTATGTAATCAAAAACATACAAAATAATACTGCATAAGAACAAAGCCTAAGCGGTGGTGGTGGCACACGCCTTTAATCCCAGCACTCAGGAAGCAGAGCAGGCGGATCTCTGGTCTACAAGAGCTAGTTCAGGACATCCTCCAAAGCCACAGAGAAACCCTGGCTCTAAAAAACAACAACAACAAAAAAAGACTCAAAGCCTAGTGGTACCATACACATTTGATCCCAGCATTTGGGAGGCAGAGGTTGGCAGATCTTTGTGAGTTCAAGGACAACCTGGTCTACAAAGTGAGTTCCAGGACAGCCAAGGATACACAGAGAAACCCTGTCTCAAAAAAAAAAGACTGAAAGACAAACCAAGTGTGATGGCTCTTGCATTTAATCCCAACACTGAGGAGGTAAAGGCATGGGTCTCTGAGTTCCAGGGCAGTCTGAACTACATAGTGAGGTAAGGCTAACCAGGTGTGCATAGAGAGACCCTGAATCAAAGAAAAGAAAGAAAAAAACGTTCAAAGACAGATGAACAAGCACTATAAAAGTACGAACATGTTGAAGAGAATCCATGTAAAGATGGCATGGTGATTCTTCTTTGAAAAGGAAGCTGTAAAAGGACCAGCATTCATTTCCCAGCAACACCATCATTCAGCTCATAACTACCTATCACTCCAGCTCCGGAGATCTGATCCTCTCCTCTGTCCTGTACGTGCACGTGACAGTTTTTAAGCTCCCACCTGTGGTTTTTTGGTTTGGTTTGGTTTTTGGTTTGGTTTGGTTTGGTTCTGGTTTTTGAAACAGGACTGGCCTCAAACCACAGTAAGCCTTGAGTGCTGGAAATAAAGGTTTGTATCACCATGGTTGGCTGTGTGACTTCAAAGTGAACCAAATTGGCCAAATACTTTTTAAATCTGGACAATGGGTAAATATTTCTTACAATATTTTGCTTGAGCTAGATATATTAAGATGATTTTCATTGAGTTAAAGAAAAATTATACAGACTTCAGGATCAGATTGACCAGTTTTCAATCTTATCACCTGCTGAATAGCTTTGATTTCTCCTGGCCTCAGTGTATTGTCTTAAGTGAAGAAAAGCACTCTACCTCCTCTGTGTGGTTATAATTTGCACAAAAGTCATGTTATGGAGGTGTTTAACAAATGGGAAGGTACTCAAGTCTTAGTTTTATTTCTGTGATTATTACATATCACACAGCTTTTTGCCCTTTGATTCTGTTAGGGAACAGTTCTGTTTTTCTTCACAAAGGCAAAGGGGAATATTTTTGAACCAGTGTTATTATATTCCTATATTTTGAAAAGTATGGCTAATGCTGACTTGGCCTAAATGCAGCCTGTGCTTGCCTTTCAGTCAGCATCGGAATCTCAATGGTGCTGGAGACAGAGGAAGTCACCGGGCCAATCATCAAGATCATCTCCGGAAGGATCCATATGCTAATCTCATGCTGCAGCGGGAAAAGGATTGGGTTTCTAAAATCCAGATGATGCAGTTGCAGAGCACTGATCCCTACCTGGATGATTTCTATTACCAGGTAAATAGCCAGTGCTTGATTTGAGAACAGCTTGTCTGCTTATGCTAGTAATAGAATTTTCTATTGAGATACTGTCCAGTGAATACAAATTGATTAAGCAGATTCTGTCTGTTTTTTAACACTCGATAGTGTCAAGCTGTATGTGCTCAGATTGATATTATCATTTTGGCATTAATAAGCTAGTTCTTCCAATTAAGAATATTGGTTGGGGGGAGGGGTGGGCTAGGGATGTAGCTTGTGGGAGAGTACTTGTTTAGCATGTGCAATCCCAAGCTTCAATTCCTAGGACCCCATACACACCAAAAAAACGAAAGAAAAGAATGTTAGCAGTCTATCTTTTAAAGACATCTTCTTTAATTCACATTTTTAAAAATTCCTTTTAAAAACATTTATTTTGTGGACAGTACAGAACAGCTCTTAAGGTCCACATGTGGATATCAAGGGGAATTAGTTTTTTCATTTCACCAGGTGGATCCCAGAAATTGAATTTAGGCCATTATTAAGCCTCAAACCCCAGGACAAAAAAGGCCAAGGTGCCTGTTTACTATATCAGAGTGTACCTGGTTCTCTCAAAATCCTTTCTTCCCTACTTGTTACTGGGTGTGAGTGGTTTGACTATCATACTCCACCCTTTATTCCTCCCAAAATCCCCACCCCTCCCAGAACACTCTAGCCCAGGACTTGGACTGCCCTTCTTCCTGAGGCTCTTTCCCACCTTTTTTTTTTTTTTCTGTCTTTTTCCTCTTGGCTGCTGTACTTGGTCCTCTTTTCTCCCCTCTCTCTTCCCCTCTGCCTCTCACATGGTTCAGCATCATGCCCCCTCTGGACTTTCCCAGATGTCCCTGTCTCTGCCTTTTATCTACAATAGACCTTCTCCTCCACCATACCCTGGAGCAGTGTCTGAGGTACCTACCTATTAAGCAGTCATCATGCTTAAGTGGCAAGTGCCTTTGCCCACTGAGCCATTTTACCAGCCAGTTAATGGGTTTTTTTGTTGTTGTTATTGTTTTTATTTTTATTTTTATTTTTTTTATTTTTTTGGTTGTCCTGGAACTCGCTCTATAGACCAGGATTTCCTCGAACTTACAGAGATTCGCCTGCCTCTGCCTCCTGAGTGCTGGGATTAAAGGCGTGCGCCACCAACGCCTGGCTGCCAGTTAATGTTTTTAAAGACTAAGGGATTTGAGCATATGTGTCAGGTTTTGTGGTACTGGGCCTTGAACATACTATAAACATACTATCATACTATAAAATGCTACTGGCCAGGCAGTGGTGGCACACGCCTTTAATCCCAGCACTCAGGAGGCAGAGGCAGGCAGATCTCTGAGTTAGAGACCACCCTGGTCTATAAGAGCTAGTTCCAGGACAGCCTCCAAAGCCACAGAGAAACCCTATCTCGAAAAGCAAAAAATAAACAAGTAAACATGCTACCAACCTGTTGTTGAGGTATACCCATAATTCATAGATTGGTTTTTAATAAAGCCAAGGATGGGTGTGTATGCCTTTAATCCCAGCATTGTGGAGGTAGAAACAGGAAGATATCTGATTTCAAGGATAGCCTGGTATACATAGTGAGTTCTAGGACAATTAGGGCACATTGAAAAATAAAAATAAAAAAGCCTGTGGTGGTAGTGAACGCTTTTAATCCCAGCATTTGGAGGCAGAGGCAGGTGGATCTCTAAATTCGAGGACAGCCTGGTCTACAGAGTGAATTTCAGAACAACCAGAGCTCTTACACAGAAGCCCTGTCTCAAAAAACCAAAAGTAAATATGTAGTAAGTTTTCTCATTGGACTTTCTTGGACCACCAGCCAGCAAATAATGACACAGAAACTTATTAATTATGAAAGCTTGGCCTTTAGCTTAGGTTTTTCCCAACTAGCTCTTATAGCTCAGATTAGCCTGCTTCTGTTAATCTGTTTTCTGCCACGTGGCTTTTACCTCTCTTCCATTCTGCGTGTCTGACTTGTTCCGCATGTTTCTGGCTTCTCCTTGCATCTAGATTCATCTCCTCTTCCTCTCTCTTCCCAGAAATACTGCCTATCCTCTCCTGCTTAGCTATGGGCCATTCAGCTCTTTATTAAACCAATCAGAAGGTGCTTTGGCAAACACACATCTTCACAGTGTACAAAAAGATTATCCCACAACATAAATGAAATAAAGTTAAAACTAACAAAAACTAGACATCAGTGTATTTCTAGAGTCCTAGTTTTATTACAACTTACTACTATAGTGTTATTAGTGTGACGAACCCGGGTGGTCTGTATTTGCTTTGCAATGTGAACTGTCTTCTCTTGTGGTAGAATTACTTTGAAAAACTGGAGAAAATGTCAGCTGCTGAAGAAATACAAGGTGATGGTCCTAAGAAGGAGCGTACCAAGCTCATCACCCCCCAGGTGGCCAAACTGGAGCATGCTTATAAGCCTGGTAAGGTCCCAGCCCCTTATTAAGAGAAATTTGGAGCACTGCTGTTTTGATAAATGAGATAATTATATGTGGAGAGAAGAGTAGCCTGACAGATGAACTCATGGGTCCTTTGCTTACATGATAAGTAAATAAATCTTTTAAAATGGGGGAGAGGGGCGGTTGCTTCACTATATAGCATTCTTGTGGTGAATTACTAAACCATGGGTACAGAACAAAGAAAGGCTTTTTGAATGCTGTCTGCCCTATTCCAAGTCTTTATTGGAGTCTTTTTTTTTTTTTTTGTCCTTGCAGTGCAGTTTGAGGGCTCTTTGGGTAAGCTTACTGTCTCTAGTGTGAACAATCCTCGAAAAATGATTGATGCTGTTGTGACATCTCGGAGTGAGGATGACGTAAGTGCCAGCTAATGGGGTATTCATTTTGCAGTCATTGGAATGAAATGCGACATGGTGGAATAGTCTATAATCTAAACTAACCCGTTGTGTCCTGACTTTTTGGTTTTTCACACATATGCTGAAATATAATACCTTCATTTAAAAAAAAAAAAAAAAAAAAGTGGACTGGAGAGAGGGCTCAGCCATTAAAGGCTAGGCTAACAACCCAAAAAAAAAAAAAAAAAGTATGTGTGTCACATATGCCATGGTGTACTTTTGGAAGTCAGAGGACAATTTTCTAGAGAGTTACTCTCCTTGCAACAGGTACTCCAGGGATTAAATACAGATGGTTGGTTACATCCATATAGCAAGCACTATTTACCAATTGAGCAATCTTGCTGGCCCTAATGCCTTTATTTATCAGGCAGCCAGCCAGGGCCTGCAATAGCAAGAGTCTTTGGATCTGATACTTCTGGCTGCAAGTATCGTCTGTTTTTCTCCAGTTTGCTGCTTAAAACAGTATGTGTTTTTAGATTTATTAGTTTAGTTTAATGATTTGTGAGCTGATCAATCAATGGCCTTTGTTTCATACTGTTGTTATTTTGGATTATAAACTTTTTAAGGAATGAACATAAAGGTGCATTCTTAGTAAAATGTTCTCAGTATAGGTAAAGCATTTATACTGAATAACCTTTTTTCTTTTTTAGGAAACAAAAGAAAAACAAGTTCGGGACAAGAGAAGAAAAACCCTTGTCATAATTGAGAAAGTAAGAATAGAATTTATTCCTATATTTAGTTTTAAAAAGCTAGCAAATGTATGTGTATCTAAGAAGTAGAAGAGTGAGCAGTAAATCAGTGTTCTTTTGTTTGTTTTGTTTTGTTTTGTTTTGTTTGAGACAGGGTTTCTCTGTGTAATAGCCTTAGCTGCCATACAACTAGCTCTGCAAACCAGGCTGGCCTGCTTCAAACTCACAGAGATCCACTTGCTTCTGCCTCCCAAGTGCTGGGATTAATGGCGTGCACCACCACTGCCTGGCAATCAGTGTTCTTTGATTTTTTTTTTTTAATTGATTTTCTTTTTACATAATTACAATTTATGATTGAAGGTGGCATTGTTCATGCATGCCAGAGGACATCTTGTATACAGGGTTGGGTTTTTGCCTTCTACCATGTGGGTTCTGAGGTACTAACTCAGATTGTCATGCTTGGGGGGAGGTGCCTTACCTGCTGAGTCATCTCACTGGCCCGCTTGCTATCTCTTACATTACCTAAGAATTGATTTTTGTTTAGTGCTTGTTGTTTACCAGAGCATTCCAGAAATGATTGTGCTACACCTTGCCTATGGAACCCTGGAAAGAACACTACACTGAGGTTTTATTCTCCATTGTTCAACTAATAGATAATAGTTATCTTTGAGCAGGTCACCTTTTTTGTTTGTTTGTTTCTGTTTTTGTTTTTAAAGACAGTGTTTCTCTGTGTAGCTTTGGAGCCTATCCTGACACTTGCTCTGTAGACCGGGCTGGCCTCGAACTCACAGAGATCTGCCTGCCTCTGCCTCCTGAATGCTAGGATTAAAGGCGTGTGCCACTAACGCCCCTCCAGCAGGTCACCTTTTATATATATATATTCATTTATTTATCTTATGTGTGGGTGTTGGTGTCTGCTGCAACTTGTGTGTGGAAGTCAGATGATAACTTGAGGGAGACAACGTGTGGCTCCTTTCAACACATGGCCTCCATGAGTATAACTCAGCTGTCAGATTTGACAGCAAACACTACCCACTGAGCAATCTCATCAACCCAATTTATCTTGAGCCAGTAAAAATAGTAGTAAAGGTTTTGTTGTTACATGAACTAATTTAGTTTTATAACATTTATTAGGCATTCCTTGTGTGCTAAGGAAAATGAGATGGTACATATAGACAGTCTGTAAGTTCACATAGCACAGTGCAATACTACATACATGATACCATTCTCCACTACTTAGCGCACAGCAGTTTAGAACACAAGCTTAAACGATCCCTTTTCTGAGTCTATAAACCTGAGGCTGAGTTATTTAATCTTTTATGCTGTCCTCAGTTTCTTCATGATTGTAGTAGTTTTGTTTTGGGATTACGTTTGCAAATGAATTGAATACGTGCAAAGTGCTAGATGACTGGCTGACACCGATAGTCAAGTTAACTTTAAAATATTGCCATATCGTACTGGAGAGATGGCTCAGAGGTTAAGAGCACCTACTGTTCTTTCAAAGTACCCTGGGTTCAGTTCCCAGGACCCACATGGCTGCTCACAACTGTCTGTAACTACAGTTCCAGGGAATCTGGCATCCTCACACAGATATATGTGTGGGCAAAATCCCCAATGTACGTACGTACATACGTACATACATACATACATACATCTTTTAAGAAAAGTCTTGCCTGGCCTTTTGTTGTGAGTGTATATCCCTTTAATCCCAGCACTTGGGATGCAGAGGCAGTTTGAGGCCAGCCTGATCTACAAAGCTAGTTTCAGGACAGCCAGGGCTACACTGAAAACCTGTCTCAAAAAAAAAAAAAAAGAAAAGAAAACAGAAAAATTGCCTGGTTAGCAAATTATTTATCAGTAATCCAGTGTGGTAGATTTTAATCACAGGCAGTTTCTGAATGTGAGGACTACATAGATAGTAAATTCCAGAAGAGCTATATAGTGAGAATGTATCTCAAAGATTATCAGGGCTAGAGAAGATGGTAAAATGTTTGCTGTGTATGTAAGTTTGAGGAACAGAGTTTGCATCCTTAGCATCCACATAAATGCCAGACAGGTATGACAACCCTCCCAGTTCTCGGGGCAGAAACAGGATCCTTGGAGCAACTTGGTTATTTGGTTGAGCCTAATTGGCAACAGGTGGGAGATGCTGTGTCAGTACAGAAAGCACTGAAAGATGAAGGAAAACATGTGACAGTCAAGCTCTAGCCTCTGTTTACACACACACTCACACTCACTCTCACTCACTACTGGAAGGTGACCCTGGTGGCATTGTTATGAAAGTTGGGTGTTTCAGCCTAATATTGCTGCTAGGAAATTTGGAAAACATAATTACTTCACTATTATTACTACCTGACTATCAGTCCAAGAGAGAGAAAGAATGATGCTTGAAGGATTATTATTTCACCATATTTCCCTGCATTTAATCAAGCACCTTTTTAAAAAGCCAGTTTTGTTAGAATTTGTACTTTTATTTTTGTTATCCCTAAACTGTGAAGATGAGTATCTAATACTCCGTGGTCCTGACCTAGCCTGTTCTGTTTTTGTCTCTCCCCTAGACCTATAGTTTACTCCTTGATGTGGAGGATTATGAAAGGCGCTATCTCCTAAGTCTAGAAGAAGAGCGGCCTGCCCTGGTGGATGAAAGAAAGCACAAAATCTGTAGCATGTATGACAACCTGAGGGGCAAATTGCCTGGACAAGAAAGGTAAGCATTGTGCACTTGAAGGAAATGGGAGACCCCTTCCATTGCCACTAAACTCTATGTACTTGGGATTATGGTCTACCCTCTCCTACCATTTCCTTAACTTAGCATCCATCTTTCTTGGGTTTTATTGTTTTTGTTTTGAGACAGAGGCACACTGTGTAGCCCTGGCTGATCTTGAATTCTCAGAAATCCAATTGCCTTCCAAATGTTGCTATTAAAGCTATGGGCCACCACACCACACTACTGTCTGTCTTTTTGTTCAGACTTGGGTGCTATTTCATGTAAAACATTCCATAATCCTTTTAAATTATTGCTTGGATTCATTTATTCAGCAGTATATATTCAGTGTCTACTTGGATTGTGCTGGATTTTGGTTTTGAGGGGACATTATCTGGAGTATGATTACTAGTGTGTTCAACTTTGTAATCTTTATGTATTTACTTCCCTGCTAAAATGTCACTTACCAGCATTTGTGCTTTCTTGGGATTTCTATAGAGTGTGTATGTGGAAGCCAGTACATCTTGCAGTGAAGATTTTTGTTGTTGTTTTTTTGAGACAGGGTTTCTCTGTGTAGCTTTGGAGCCTATCCTGGCACTGGCTCTGGAGACCAGGCTGGCCTTGAACTCACAGAGATCTGCCTGCCTCTGCCTCCCGAGTGCTGGGATTAAAGGTGGGCGCCACCAACGCCCGGCTTGCAGTGAAGATGTTATCTCTTTCTGTGTCATTTTTCTACTGCTCATTGTCTGATGCAAACCTAGTTGAGATAATGTCCTATAAATCCCAGATATGTAATGCAAGAGGACTACATCTACTGACAGCTCCTTTCCCTTCGCTCAGATTCTCCTGGGCCAGAATTGATAGGAACATAAGAATAGACTACTTTACAGCACACTTTTGTGCTGTTGGTCTGATAAATGTGGTTTATCCATAGATAGGCATGTTATGTAACCACCAAAAGCATTTAACTGAAGCATATTTTTTGATAGAGAAAAGTGTTTAAGAGGTTAACAGAAGTTGGAGATAACTAGATTAGTGGGAGAGCACTTGGCTAGCATACAGGAGGCTGTGAGCTCAATTCTCCAGTTTGGGAAGGGAAAGTAAAAAAAAGTCAAATTACAAAACCACATAAATTCTATGTGCCTTGTTAACACTTATAAGTTACCATTTAATTTTTACTTAAATCAAATTTGATCACATTTTTACATAGAGTATGGGAAATAATTTTCCATATTTGTAAAACTTAATATTTTACCTTTTATTATTTGGTTGGAACTAGAGAGTAATCTTCAATATTGATAGCACAGATGGTTGTGAAGATAGGGTTGCATATTTTTTTAAACATGAGAGTTTTCTGTATTGCCCTTGTTGACATTAGGTGGCATTCTTCTTGCAGGCCAAGCGATGACCACTTTGTACAGATCATGTGTATCCGAAAAGGGAAGAGAATGGTTGCCCGCATTCTCCCTTTCCTCTCCACAGAGCAAGCAGCTGACATTCTTATGGCAACTGCCAGGAACCTCCCTTTCCTTATCAAGAAGGACGCACAAGATGAGGTACACACCATGTAGGGCAACTCTTACTATGCTTCTCAAGTTGGAAAACTTTGGCTTTTGGTTACTTTTGTGGATGTAAACTATCCCTCCCTGCTCCATTGTCAGTAGCTTCATGTTAGCCTAGAGGTTTGGTTGAATGGTGTCCCACAGGTAAATGTTAAAAGATCTCTGCTTATCCTTGCAATAGCTTTTCAAAGATTAGCAAATTTTCTTGTACTTTTTCAAGTTGAAGACAGGAAATTGCTAAAGGAATAGTATTAGTGAGTATGGGATTCAGAATAGTGAGATGCTTGTAAGGAAACATTGCAGTTGACTACAAATTGAGTAGTAACTGCTATGAACCGAAGTTTCTGTCCCTCTTGGTCCTGCATTCCATTAGTCCCAAATGAACACACAGAGGTTTATATTAATTATAAACTGTTAGGCTGATGGCTCGGGCTTCTTATTGGCTAGCACTCTTGATTATTAACCCGTTTCTATTAATCTATGTATCTCCAGGTAGTCTTGGCTTACCATAGAATGCCCAGGCATCCTATCTTCCCGGTAGCTCCATGGCAACTCCCTTGTAACTCACTCCCTGCGTTCCTCTTCCCAGAATTCTCCTAGTCTGTTAGCCCCCACCTAGTTACATCCTGCTGTCCATTGACCAAACCCGCTTTAATCACCAACCAATGAGAGAAACATATTCACAGCATAGAGAAGGACATCCCCCATCAGTTTCTGTGCAGAAGACATGCCTGTATACCTTAAAACACAAAAGAGCTGAAAATTACTATTGTAGCCTTTGAGATGTTGATTTTTATAGAAAGGAATGAAAAATTTAGGTCTCATTAGAAAAATGCAACAGAATGAAACAAATGACATTTTTTATTTTATTTTTTAAATTTTACTTATGAATCGTTTGCATGTGTGTCTGTGCACTATGTGCATGATTGATATCCATGGAGTTCAGAATAGGGCATTGGATCCCCTACAGCTGTAGTTAGGGTTTGTGAGCCACCATGTGGGTGCTGGGAATTCAATCTGGGTCCTCTATAAAAGCAACAGGTGTTCTTAACAGCTGAGCTATCTCTCTAGCCCCAAAACCAGTACTTTGTTTTTTTTAAGACAGGGTTTCTCTGTGGCTTTGGAGACAGTCCTGGAACTCGCTCTTGTAGACCAGGAGGCTGGTCTCAAACTCACAGGAATCCGCCTGCCTTTGCCTCCTGAGTGCTGGGATTAAAGTTGTGCACCGCCACCACCACCCAGCTAACCAGTACATTTTTAAGAGACTCCAAGAATGAAAAATGGGATGGAGGAAAATTTTAAAGATTTGAAATTTATCCTAGAGAATAAAAGGCCAGAGTAAAAGGGCATGCCCATTTTAAAGCATAAATGCCAAAGAGAATGAAGCAGTGGACACTCTTGTCAATCATGGTCTCATAGAAACTCACGATGCAAGCAGGTTTGGAAGAATCTTAACACTTGGCAGATACTTACTGAATACATCTGCATATCAGGCACTGTTTTATATCACAGAAATAAAGCTAGGAATACAAAAGTATCTTCATGGGGCTTACTTGCTAGTAAAGAACACTTAGTTAACTATGTAGAAAAGTTGCATGTGGTAACTCACACCTGATTTCCCCACACTAGGGAGGCTAAGGCGGGAGGGTTGCCATACTTGAGGCCAGCCTAAAAATGTGTGTTTGTAGAGTTGTAGTTCATTCTCTCTCCTCCCCCTCTTTGTCTCTGTTTGTGTGTATGTATACATATGTAAGTATACATGCATGTGCTTAGTTGTTAATATATGTAAATTAAAAAGTAATCTACCATGTCTCTAGAATCGATTTTTCTTGCAATAATAACTGGATCCAGGTGTAAGAAGTACATATAATCCTCATCTTAAACCAGAGGCAAGGGAACTAATAGGTTATTAGGGATGCATAAACCAATTTGAGGGGACTCCTGTTTTCCAGAAGTGGTATACTTAACATCAGAAAGGAAAATTACAGCAGTAGACTGAATTAGATTTCCTTTAATGAGTTCATAATGATACCAAAAGTATATCAATCATTTGTAGTAAGTGCTGGGTCAGTAACTCATCCTGCCTTTTCATTACAACCAAATGTGCTGGCACACAGTAATATCATGATTTTGTATGTGGTGAGCATCCTGCTAGCCACAGCCACCAGTGGGATGTAAGTGAAGGAACAGTTGGTAGAGTGTAACGTTCTTGTTTGTTTTGTAGGTGCTGCCATGCTTACTGAGTCCCTTCTCTCTTCTCCTCTATCATCTTCCTTCAGTGACTGTCACCAGCCTTCTGCAACAGCTAATGAACCTACCTCAAAGTGCAACTGCACCAGCACCCTCCAATCCTCACCTCACTGCTGTGCTCCAGAACAAGGTTGTCTTGTCCGTTAGTGTCCTTAACTTATGTGGCATCTATATTGACTTAGGAAAATTAGGACTACTGTAGCTTTATGGAATTTGGGGCATCAAGCATCCGGTCTTTTTTACAATTATTCCGGTCCTCTTTAACTGTAGATTCCCATACTCATGAGGTCCCTGCTTCAGGTTAGTTCTGAAAATTAAAACTGTCTTGACATGAAGAACAAAGCTGGGTATGGATTATTAAAGTGTAGATTAACTACCTGTCTTCTTTGTTAGGGCTTTTCCCAAGAAATTCTAGCAAGCTTCTGATGAGTAGCAGTGACCAGGGTTTAGTCACATGGCATACCTAGCTGCAGGAAGGATGCATACAGCTTTCAGTTATGTCATATTAAAGATCCAAAGATTAAGGCAAAACTTGGTGCACTTGTGTGTAACCCCACCACTCAGGCCAGCCGGGCCTATGTGAGTTCAAAGCCAGCCTAGTTTACATATTGAATTCCAGGGCATAACCCCTACCTCCAAAAAAAAAGGGGGGGGGAGCTTTTTTTTCTTTTTTAGTTTAAAGCCCCTTAGAGGAAACCTAATAAGGAAGGAGGATCGTGAGTTTCTAAACAGGCCATGTCAGCTTGCCTGCCCTTTTCCAGCATTATGATCCTGAGTATTTGCTCAGCCGGTTTCCTGATCTGTGTTATGCAAGTGTGGGTGCAGGCTTTGCCCAGTGTTCTGGTATTTAGATGATACCTGGTAGATAGTAGGCGCTTGTTTAGGGCCATGACAAGCAATAGAGGTGAAGGCTCAGGACCTCTTCCTCCTTTTATCTGCCAACAGTAACAGGCCATCAGAGATAGAAAAGCATGCCTGTATCCCTCAGGATATAGGGAGGCTCTCAAGTGACCAGTCATGGTCTTCCTGTTACTTAGTCACTCTTAATTTGGAAAGAGCAGTAAAAAACCAGGAAGTCATACGAGATCCTGAGCTGATGAAAATTTGCTTGCAAATAGCATGAAGGGAAATTTTGTGGGGGGATTATCCTCTATAATATAAACCCAGGAAAGTAGAATGAAATCCCAGAATATACATCTATTTATGATCCATTATAGATATGATTTACACATTTAACCTAGTGCTGTTGATATTTTTATTTGATGCCCCTTAAGTGTTTTATTTTGTGCCGGTCATGGCGAAACAAAAAAGTCATGTTGTTGATTTTTTTTTAAATGCCTATTAACAATTTCAGATAAGAATATACTGTGTGTACACACTTGCCCTTTTAGTGGTGTGCATGCAGAGGCCATATGGCCAGAGGTTAACAACAGGTGTCTTTCCTTGATTATTCTCCACCTTTGCTTTTTGAGAGAAGTTCTGACTACACTTGAAGTTCATTGATTTGGCTTCGGGTGGCCGGCCAGTGTACTTCAGAATCTGCCAGGCTCTATCTCCCAGAGCTGGAGTCACAGGCACACACCACCATACGTAGCTTTTTGTTATTTTGTGGAATCTAAGCTCAAGAACTTTACCAGCTGAGCTATCTTCCTAGCCCCCGGAGTTGTTTATTTATTGTTGGTGGTTTTTTGTTGTTTTATTTCTTTTGAGCTTTGATTATTTTGTTTGCCCTGTGTGTATTTTCATTTTTGTTAATGTGTTTTGTTTTGCTTTTTGAGGCAGTGTCATGTATCCCAGGCCCCTAACCCTCTGCACAGCCAAGGATGACATTGGACTTTTGTGGGGGGGTTTTGATTTTTTTGTTTGTTTTTGTTTTGGTTTGGTTTGGTTTTGGTTTTTCGAGACAGGGTTTCTCTTTGTAGCTTTGGAGCTTATCCTAGCACTCTCTGGAGACCAGGCTGGCCTCGAACTCACAGAGATCTACCTGCCTCTGCCTCCCAAGTGCTGGGATTAAAGGCGTGCGCCACTGACACCCGGCTGACATTGGACTTTTGATCTTCCTGAATGCTAGGTTTTAGGTATGCACCATCACACCAAATTTATATGGTGGTGGTGATTAGACCTGGAGCCTTGTGCATTCTAGGAAAAAATGCTACAACTGAGCCCCTTGTAGTGTAACAGCCGTGGCTGCCCTGGAACTCACTCTATAGACCAGGCTGGCCTCAGATTCACAGACTACTGCCTGCCTCTGCCTCCAGTGCTGGAATAAAAAGTGTACACCACCACTTTGGGTTCCATGTAGTTCTTACTATCTTTTTTTTTTTTTTTTTTTTTCCCAGCCAGGGTTTCTCTGTATTGTTTTGGAGCCTGTCCTGGAACTGGCTCTGTAGACCAGGCTGGCCTTCAACTTGCAGAGATCCGCCTGTCTCTGCCTCCTGAGTGCTGCTGGGGGTTTCTCTGTGTTTCACCAACGCCCAGCTTACCAACGCCCAGCTTACTATCTTTTTTCTTTACAAAATAATTTTACTTGCTTTTTCTTCTAATTTTCCATGAACTTAGACTTTCATTTTTAATCTGCTTTGATTCTTAAAAATAAAAGAAATGCCAAATCACAGATTATCCATGACTAGGGAGAAAATCTTTTCAAAACAGAATAGGGTAAAGAGAGGACTTTCTGTGCTTTGTGTCTGCTGTGCCAGAAACAACATCTTAGAGGAAATACATACCTCTAATTCCAGGCTTGCCTGACCCCCTCCACCTGGCTATACAAAAACTTAGATGTAGAGCCATTCCCATCAGTTCCTGGGTCCCATCAACTGAGGTATAAGAGGTTTAGATGTATTGTTTTGGATTTTGCTGTTGTTGCTTTTAGGTTTTTTTGGTTGGTTGCTTGGTTGGGTTTGTTTTTCAAGACAGGGTTTCTCTGAAACAGTCCTGGAACTCACTCTGTAGAACAGGCTGGCCTCAAACTCACAGAGATCCTCCTCCCACTACCTCCAGTGTGCTGGGATTGAAGGCATGCGCTACCATGGCCTGGCTAGATTTGTTTTTTGTGTATTAATGTTTTGTCTGTGTGTACACCCTGTAGATATCAGTGGATGGGTGTGAGCCATTATGTAGTTTCTGGGAACAGTACCTTGATCCTCTACAAAAAAACAAATGTCTTAACCACTGAGCTGTCTCTCCAGCCTCTTAGGTACATTGTTAAAATTTGATTCCATCTGGCCTCTCTTACAGTTTGGCTTGTCACTGCTCCTAATCCTTCTAAGCCGTGGAGAAGACCTACAGAGTTCAGATCCTGCTATAGAATCAACGCAAAATAACCAATGGTCAGTACTAATTGTTTATCTTCTATTTTAAATTCTTTTAAGTAGTCTTTCCTCTCCTTTCTCTTCCCCTTCTGCTTCTCATATTGTTTTGGGTTTTCTCTGTCAGGACGGAGGTGATGTTCATGGCAACCCGAGAACTTCTACAGATCCCCCAAGCAGCCCTGGCTAAGCCAATCTCTATACCCACAAATCTAGTGTCCCTTTTTTCTCGCTATGTTGACCGGCAGAAACTGAACTTGCTGGAGACAAAACTACAGTAAGTTCCAAATACATTCTTCCTTGGTTATTTTAGACATCATACTGTGGGGGGGATGGAGCTGAATGGGAGTAAGAGATTGAGACCTCCATTAAATGTTTGCATGTGTGCTAAACCAAATCACTGTATTTTGTGCAGCAGTGCCCCAGAAAATGACAGAAGCTGAGAGAACAGAAATACCTAGGGTCTTTTATTATGAGAATTCTTGTAAAGATGTGACGTGAATGCAGAAGATTCATCCTATTTTAACTTACTTATACAAAAAGTTGTCTTTCTCTTCATATCCGTAGGCTGGTTCAGGGGATACGATAAAAGCTCTCCAGTGTGTCCTCTACCTCCTGTTGGCTGCCACCTGCACTGCTGCCATCACCAATGGAGTGTTCTTAATGAGGGAGGGGAGGTAGCTTATGACCCAAAGGAAAGTCTTGTGGGAGCAACCTGTTTTCAGAGGTTATCTCTGAATGCCAGATATTTCCCCACTGCTCTGATACTTCTGCTGGTTTCTTTTATCTTCTGTGTTACACTTTGCATGTCCTACTTTTACTCAATTCTTCTCAATTTTGCATTTTCTTTGCCCTAGAGACACAAATATAATATCCCTTTATCCCATCACCACTATTACAGTTCAAAGTAGGTTGTAGTCTGCCAAAGGTTCCCTCCACCCATTGAAGTCTTTTTTCATCTTTCCTTATTAATATGACCATAGGAGAGCCAGAACTAAGTAGAAGTCAAGGTATAAGGTATAGGTAAAAATACACACACCCCTACACATGCATTCATGTGGTCTCCAAAGGGTTCCCCCCCCCCTTTTTTTTTTTTTTTTTGGTTTTTTGAGAAAGGGTTTCTCTATGGTTTTGGAGGCTGTCCTGGAACTCATTTTGTAGACCAGGCTGGCCTCGAACTCACAGAGCCTGCCTCTGCCTCCCGAGTGCTGGGCTTAAAGGTGTGTACCACCATCGCCTGGCCCCAAAGGGTCCTTAAAGAATGAGTTTTAATTTGAAAAATATTTAGTTAGCATATACCTCTAAAAATAAACCAGCTGATACATTTTTAGTCTGTTTCTGTTCCATCTTGTAATTTGGTGGATTATACTTTTTTAATATATAAATAACAGGGTACACAGCACATTACATTAAATCAAACTTGTTAATTGGCTGATGCCCAGCTCTAAGCTGAGAAGTATCTTTCTCCCTATCTGTATTTTCTTTGTTCCTGACCACTGTAATGGAAACAGCACACACACAGTTAAGCCTTTTCCTGTGATGACTACAGCGTGCTTGAGCCTGTCCCTCAAGTGCATTCAAGAGTACCCAAGATGAGCCTCACGTAGAGCCTGCTTCTGCAGTGTAGCTTTTGCACACGTGCACTGTCTTCCTGACGTGACTTCTGTAAGCCATGCTTCTGCTTCTCTTCCCCATTTTCATTTAGTGTCTTGGGTAGAAGCCTCCAAATGTAGCCGTGGCTGCTAAACTTGGGCTGCTCTGCTCATTGGTCTCCTCTACCCTGCAGCAGAACGCTGTCCTGGCTGCTTAGTCTTGCCTGAGCCCTATCCACTAGCAGCCGGGACCTGGGTTTGAATGGTAGGGACACTTTCCTTTGCCCTTTCTTACCTTCAGCAGTTAGCCAGGATAAGGGACTTTGCTCCCTAGTAGTTGAATTTATTTTATATTCCCGTCCTGATCCTACTTTCTGCTCTTCTAGCCTTTTTGAATGTAGTCAGTGGACAGGCTATGATATTTAAAGAGAATAAACATTTTGCACATACATGTATTGTATAACAGTAAAGCTCTCCGTTACAACCAGCTGTCCTTGTTCTCATCTCCATTTCTTCTCATTCTGTGGCCTCAGGCTCCACCAGCTGCTCCCCAGTGACAGTCTTTAGCTTCCCTTTGCCATCTGCTGACTGTCTCCACTGAACCTTTCCTACCTTCCCTTCACACCTGATCAAGTAAACACTTGATTATTTTTTCTTCCTTATTGTGCTTTTTGTTCAGTTCTAATTAATAAAAATAAAAGTTTCTAAATTTACATTTTTATAGGGTATTGTAAATAAAAACAAATTGTATACTTGAAAAACGTGTACTTGTATACTTTTTTGTTTCTGAATTTGTTTAATGGGTTCTCCATCATACTTGGGTTCACGAGCAAAACTTTTTTTTAGAAGCACTCTTATTTTACATATCAATCCCCCCATTCCCTCACCCTCGAATGCCCCTCCCACCTCCCCCAACCCACTCCCCAAGGATAGTGAGGCCCTCCACAGGGGACCATCAAAGTCTTTCACATCATTTGGGAGGGGGCCTAGGCCCTCCTTGCTGTATCTGGGCTGCAATAGTATCCCTCCATAGGGAATGGGCTCCCAAGTCCATTTGTGCACTAGGGATAAACACTGGCTCCACTGTTAGAGTTCCCATAGACTGCCTAGGCCTCCTACCTGGCACCCACATTCAGAGGGCTTGGTTAGGTCCAACTCTGGTTCCCCAGCTTTACGACGAGGGTCTCCATGCTCTCACTAGATCAGGTCAATTGTTTCTGTGGGTTTCTCCAGCACCATCTTGGCTCCTTTGCTCATCCCTCCTCCCTCTCGGCAACTGGATTCCAGGAGTATGGCTCAGTGCTTAGCTGTGAGTGTCTGCTTCTGCTTCTATCAAATACTGGATGAAGGCTCTAGGATGGCAACCAATTATAGGGGAAGGGCATCAAAGGAAGCCTCTCCACCACTGCCTAGATTCTTAGTTGGGGTCATCCCTGTGGATCCCCGAACATTTCCCCGGTGCCAGACCTTTCTCTAAACATACTGGCTCATCTATCAAGGTATCTCCTTTCTTGCCCTCCTCTATTCCTCCCCTGTCTCAGTCCTCCTGATCTCTCCTATTCTCCACCCCCCCCCCCGGTGCTCCCAGTTTGCTCAGGGGTTCTTGTCTCCCTCCCCTTCTAGGGATCATGTGTTCTTCTCTTGGGGTCCTCCTTAGCAAAACTCTTGATATTGGAGAAATACCACTTTGCCCTGAACACATTCACGTACTTCTAGATAGATGCCCATCTCTTCTTGCTTTTAAGGGCTTAGGTAGCTCCCTTAAGCATTTAGCTAACCTCGTGGTTTGTATTTTTCTTAGCTCTAGCCCTGTAGCTTTGTTTAATCTTTTAAAACAAAACAAAATCTTGCTAGACACATACCTGTATTTCTAGCATGCAGGAATGTGAAGCAGGAGGATCATTCATTTTTATTAAAGTGAGCAAGATTGAAGATTCAGCAAACTAGTAAAGAACAGCAGAAGGGCCGGGCGTTGGTGTTGTATGCCTTTAATCCCAGCACTCGGGAGGCAGAGGCAGGCCAATCTCTCTTGAGTTTGAGGCCAGCCTGGTCTCCAGCTAGAGTGCCAGGATAGGCTCCAAAGCTACACAGACAAACCCTGTCTCTAAAAAACCAAAAAAAGAACAGCAGAAGAGGACAAGAAATGGAGAGATGGTTCAGTCACTTGCTGTTCTTCCAGAGGACCCGAGTTCAATTCTCATCACCCACATTGTCAGTTTATAGCCGTCTATAACTCCACAGGATCTGATGCCTCTTCTGATTTCTGTGGATATAAAGGCATGGTGCCAAGGTACATACAGACAAAGCACCCATACATAGACTTTTTTTTTTTTAAAGGAAGAACAGTGGGAAAGTAAGTTGGATCTAAGAACAGACTACTAGGTGGAATGTTACTGTTATTAAGAGTAGAATATATTGTGAGAGGTTTTTTTGTTGTTGTTGTTATTGTTTTTCAGAAAGGATTTCTCTGTCAAGCCCTGGCTCTCCTGGAACGCACTGTGTAGACCAGGCTGTCCACAAACTCTCAGTGGTCCGCCAGCCTCTGCCTCTTGACTGCTGGGATTAAGGGCATGAGCCACCACCCCTAGAGATTTTTTGTTTCAATCTATTTGTTTTACATTCTGACTGAAGTTTCTCCTCTCCCCTTTCCTCCCAGCCCCTTCCCCAACCTTCCTTCTGCCTCTCCCCACCTCATCCAACCCTCCACCATTTCTATTCAGAAAATGGCAGGCCTGTGGATATTGACAAATCATGGTATATCAAGTTATAGTAAGACTGAACACCTTGCCTTGTATTAAGGCAACCCAGTATGAGGAGTAGAATACCAAAAGTCAGCCAAAGAGAGACAGCCCCCACTCCACTGTTAGGAGACCCACAAGAAGACGAAACTGTACAACTCTCACATATATGGAGAGGGACTAGGTCAGTCCCATGGAGGTTTCCTGGTTGTTGGTTCAGTCTGTGTGAACTGTGAACCCAGGTAAGCGGATTCTGGCCTTCCTCTCTTTATCAGGATTCCCTGAGTTCAACCCAGTGCTTGGCTGTGGGTCTCCTCATCTGTTTCCACCAGTTGCTGAACGAAATGAGAGATGTAGTCTTAACTTTAGCATAAACCCTGTTGTTAGGTGGATGACCTTGAGAAAGGATCCACAAGGCTAAAGTCAAAGTGTCCAGTGAGAGAGAACATAGTATGCAATACTTCCCAACTTAGAGACCCGGAAACTGAAGTTCTAGGAGGAGCCAGGCCTTGCTTGCAGCATGGGTTGACTAATAGTAAACACCCAGAGAATGTCCTATTTACTTTAAAAGTGTGTTTTAAACCTAAGAATAAAGAATGTAGTCAATTATATTAGGTGATAAGAATGTATGGTATAACAGTTAAAAACTGGCATCAAGCCGGGCGTTGGTGGCGCATGCCTTTAATCCCAGCACTCGGGAGGCAGAGGCAGGTGGATCTCTGAGTTCGAGGTCAGCCTGGTCTCCAGAGCGAGTGCCAGGATAGGCTCCAAAGCTACACA